ATAAATGCGAAAGCACACGCACGCACAAAAACATGAATATTTTAAACTAGTACCGTGTACTCAAGACAAGAACTGCATTATTCCAATCACGAATGAGCGGATTTCTCCGACACAGCACTGTTGTTGTTGTTCTGACTTGTTTTCGTTATGCCGTTGAGGATGCTTGAATAGTGGCCAAAATAAAATATGTGCCTACACACATATACATATGTAAACTTAGAGCCGACGCGACAGCCTCGTTGAAGTATCTGCACACCAGTTGGCCCAAAAGATTGGCTAGTTGTCTGCTCGTTCGCCTGATCGATTGTGTATGCAAGCAGGCATCGCACATCTGCATATATGCGTGCGCTTGTATGTTGCTGCTAGGCTGACCACAGCAGCCGTGTGACACATACAAATGGAAATGAATGGATGGAGGTGGCTGACAGGGCGTTGATCGGTCGATCTAGGCTGGTCGCACACTTCTATATCTATATATATTCGAGTATTTGTTGCTGGCTGACTAGCTGGCTGGCTGGCTGGCTGGCCGATCGGCTAGCTAAGTGACCAACTGGGCCGTCAGGGCTCGCTGACTAGTTTGCGACGGCGGCAGCATCAACAACAGCAGCAGCCAGCAAAAGTGTCGCCGCCGTCATTCAGTCGCAATGCAAGACACTTCGCTTTACACATACTCACACACACATACATATACATATATACATGTATATGTACATATGTTGCTTTGCATGCCTGTACGTTTGTTTTGAAGAATTGAACTTTTTGGCCAGCCACGAATTTATTGTTGTGATTTATTTTGATTTCACAGCCTTTGCCAGGCACTTTATCCACGAACAATTCATGTGTACCGTATTAGTTGTGAGATGGTTTGTGTGTTTTTCTTTGCCATTAGTCTGGTCAGTTGTTGCTATTGCCCAGTGCCGTGTATTCGAAGGTATTCGCTGCCCATTAGTCATGGCGGCGAAAATTATAAATTGCATTTCACTCCTCTAATCGCCGTCGTCTATGAGAAATTTTCATGCAAATGATGTCGCATTATGCAGCAGGAATGCTCAGCAATGGAATAATAAATATGAAAATTCGCAGAAAGTATAAATTCAATGGTAATTGTGTATGGGCGCGTATGCCTGTTTTTCCGAACTATATTGTCTAACTATGTATATATTTAGGTTATAAGACTTTTAATATTTTTTATTAAGCCTCTAATATGTAAGAAATTTAATAAAATATGTATTTTCTAATAGTAAAATATGTTTTCTATAAACTACATATGTATTTCATATGCATACAGCACAGCATAAAAAATATAAAGGGTTTGCCACTACGTGTGAGCAATCTTTAAACACCATCCAACAAGCCATTTCAAATTATATTTTACCATACCTGTATTTCATGGTATGTGAAAAACAATAACTTTTTAACTAAAAATTTAATTTCTTTTTATGAGGGTCTTCATGATCATTTTATGGGAATTTTAGGCACCAAAATGGATCGGCGTAAAAGGCTGTCCAAGTGAGATCTCTGTTGGCAATTATAACTGTATMGACGTTTTAATCTAACCTAGCATTACCTCATTCACTTATCAATGATATTGCAGACTATGTCTACAATCCAAAGTAGACTAATGGGAAATAGTTATTTTTTCGTAAAAAATTTTTTTCAAAAATATAAAATTCATTCTAACAAACAATTTAATTTATTTAACAAAATTTATTTTTATTTTTAAACACTTAATGCTATACTTAAACTATTTTCATACAACTAAATGAATGTTTTTAGTATGTAATACATCAAAACATTGCGCAATAATAATAAAAACAAGCAAATAACAAATTTGTGCATTAAACAAAATGTCAACAACAAAAKAATACAAAGCAAACACAGCGCAGTGGCCAACTAACGTACGAGCCTTGGGCGGAAGCATTTCGCCTGCTGCATGGGCACACACTGCTGGCGATACAAGTCCCCGCCAAACCCGAAATAGCAACGACGCACAYTGAGAAGGCCGCCAACACAATGGAAATAGTACTCGCAGTTGTTGGGATTCGCGAATTGCTGATCGTAACAGCTGGTGCAGACAGGACGACCATAAGTTAGCGCTGACGTCGACGCCAAGGATGGACTCTGTATATAAGCTGTGCTGCCAGGGCGGTTATTGCTCAGCGGTCGCGTATAAGTATTGGGTGGGCGGCGTGTAGTTAACAGGAAAGTGGACGCAGCCTATACCTCAGCCGCGGTAACTGTTGCAGCTATGGCCGCCGTTGTTGTTGCAGTCGAGAGATCGTTGAAGATATGCCTCGTTCTGGACGAGTTTCRACATCTCCCGAGTGCGTTTGAATGATGTATGTGGATATTTTAGAGATCAAACGCGTTCTTGCTCGAATCGTCCCAAAAAAGCAGAACTTTTTTTATAAAAAGAGTACCATAAACCGGTCTCTTTGGAGATTCTTGATCGAGCGAGTGCCGATATTACAACCAATCCTGACCAGTGACACCCGCGCTGTGATGGGATGTGATTTAACAGTTGTGCGGTGACTTCAGGGCAGCTGGCTCTATATAAGAAACGCAGGCTCCGTGCCTGGCCACTGTTAAGGTGATACTCGCGCCACGATGCGATGTGATTTAACAGTCGTGCGGTGACTTCAGGCCAACTGGCTCTATATAAGAAACGCAGGCAGCGTTAGTGGCCAGTGTTAAGGTGACACGAGCGCCGCGATGCGATGTGA